ATTGAAAGAGCTTAGATATACTTCAAGTAGGAACCATCACCATTTAATTAGTTGATTATATAATCATAAAGGACGTCACCTAAGGGAATGGAATGACGTGATAGGTCACAAGTCGTCTGTCTTTAAAGAAAAAAAAGTCCCAGGGCAAAGACAAGATAGCTAGCTAAGCCCCTTCAACCCTTAGTTAATCAGCAATCTCGACTAGCACTCAGAGAGAATCAGCATCCACTTCTGGCTTTCATGGCCACCTTCTCCTGTTGAGCCAGCCTGATTGGTCGAATGAAAAGCCCTTCAAAAGCAAGCGGATTTCACACAAACTACAAACTCAGTCCCCCTTGTTTATCCTAATGCAAGCGATCCAAGTTAAAGGAGAGGAATGCTCAATCCCGATCCACGCTAAGGAAAAAGATCCAACTGAGAAGAGTGTAGGATTCCAGTGGGTCCAGATTTTTGCCTTGGTTAGGCGACAATCATGGTCTTGGTGATTCTTACGATTACGCCGCTTCTTTTTTTTTAGGAAAGGAAGCCCACTCGAGTCAACATCCCTTTCATCATATATACGACGATTCCCCTCGAGATTTTGATACTCTAATTCTGATTCTGCCACATAACGCATAACCTATACTTCACGCTAAGCTGCAATCTAATGCCCGGGGGACGCAATAACTTAACATTTCCCGAGATTACTTATTGGAACCGTAGTCAAAAGGTCTTTGAGTACCCCTTGTCTCGCAAGTGCTATGTGCGCGCATACCAACTCTTTTGAATCGCTTGTTATTGGCCTCGAAGCGGCGGTCCTAATGGGGTTTCAGTTCCTATAAGTTCGCGGAGATTCCAAGCTGGTCATTCGGCAGCTCACTGGTGAATCTAGGGTACCAAGTTGGAAGGTAGCCCTGTGCCAAAGAAAGTACCAATCCCAGCGTTGGACGAAGATCGGTCCCCTCTCAGACTTCCGTCGTCATGATAAGCTTGATGAATAATTCGCTTTAGTCTCTTCCTTCAGCCTAAGGTCGTCAAAGAGCAGAAAAGTGTACAAACCGACGGCTAAATCGCTTGAAGCTTTCTATTCGCCTTTCCCTAGCTTGCCGTAGAATTCGACTTGAGATCGATTCCCCGCAGTCAATACGCTTGTTTAAACTCTTCTGGTCTCTTTCTTTCTTTGATTCTATTACCGCAGGAGTGGTACGCGGGCAACCTTCCTTCTTTTCTTGCCTTATCGCCTTAGTAGGACCAAAGCCTCACCTTTGACTACTTGCTTCGTCGCTCCGTTAGTCGATCTAATCCGGATTCCCCTTTTCCTACTGTAGAAGCGTAGGGGACAAATCTACTATTTCATTCCTTCAGTCTTTCAATACGACGGAGATGTCAATCAAACCTTTTTCCTTAATAAGACCCCGCTCCGGCGGACTTTCATTAACAGACAGGCAGAAGAGGACTCTGGAAGGAAGGTGTAACGGTAGGTGCCTGACTTTTGGGTTTAAATAGGTGTACTAGAGAGATCGTTGAAGCTAAGGGCCAGGCTAAGCAAGCGGGATCCGGGCTCATTCTCGGGACTTCGTTTAGCTCTCTCCCTTTGCCTTAGTGCTAGACGCGGGTGAACCAGCGAGAGTCTGTGAGCGCTCCTGCGTGTAAGCATGGACGATCAGTCATCTAGGACTGATTGCGAAGAAGCAGCCTACCGTAAATGATCGATTCTCCTTCCTACTCGCTTATTTGACTCGTCTTAGGAGAGGATCGCGAACGCTTTTGCTCAGCGCTTGTCTTTCCGCACCAAAACGGAAGATCTATCTATCTTGCTCGGGATGCTTACGTGCTTCCGCACCATCCCTGACTTTCTTGCTTTTCCGATAGCCTTTAGTATAGGAGCATCTCTAGTGGTCCCGCCTAACTCTTCGTTATCTGTCCGAATACCTCTTACTATCTGCCTCTGTTTCAGGAATAAGTTAAGGGACTAGGAGTACCTGCCGGAATGAGCTTCCCTCGTTGATTCTTTATACTTCAGTATAGCCTTCAGACAGAATGAACGGATCGAAGACCGATTCTGATCTCAAAATGAACCTATCCCTGCCTTATTCAACTCAGAACTCAAAACAGGTCTTTGGCTTCCTACGCTCTCCTTCAACTAAGGGTGATAGGAAGTGAAGCCTAGCTCGACCGAAAGAAAAGGGTAAGAGCGGAGTCGTCGAAGCGAGAGGAAAGTAATCTCTCGACTGTAAGGAGAGGATAGAAAGTTCCATGTCTGAGAAGGAAAGGATATCTTGGCAAGAAGATATGGGTGGCCAGTAGCTTTCACTGTCAATCTGTTCTCGTACTGTAAAGAAGCATGAATGGCATACCAGTTGGATCTTATTTCCAGGGAGTGAATGGAACTTATCCTTTAAAGTACAGCCAGTAATTGTCAGTCAATTTCGGAGCGGAGAAGTTTGAAGTTATAACATATCCCGATGTCAAGGTGAGACGTCCAGCTCTTTAAGAAAGAAGGTTCGTCCTAGCTTAGTCGAAGTCTAAGGCAAAACCAGAATTCCAACAGTGCTAAGCTAGTAGGATTTCCTCTTGGAAAGAAAAGACTAGATAAGCTATCCAATCAGTAGACAGGCTGGGAACTCTACGAGGAAAGGAACATCCCGTAGAAAGCTTTCTCCTAGAATATATAATGAAGAGAATCATTGAACGGAGGATAACAGCCGAGAAGGATATGATAGACTACGGTTCAAAGCTTCCGGAGGAACTAGCTAGAGCTGGATCTGCTGAACCTGAGGGAATAAGGAAAGAAGCAAGCTTGGGTGCTTTATTTCTTTTTGCTTGTAGCATGATATGTAGTCAAGTCGGCTGAACACAAACCCAACCGAAGTGAAACTCTCCTTTCCTTCCTTAAGCTTCGCATAAGCGACTTCATACGAAAGGTAGGAGCTAAAATCCGGCTCGGTTAGGGTAGACCCAGGGGAAGAGCTGTGCACAAAGGTTTGAACCATGGGGCAGGGACGGCGACCAACAACAGGAGAGCACTCGGTGTAGGTCTTTCCTTGATCCTAATAAAGGCTCAGTAGCTCAATTAGGTTTGGAAGCAGG